CCATCCCTGAATGGGACGGCAACCCAGGACGTTGGCGACACTTCGAGACGGCAGTGAAGTGGTTCCCCCGCACGCTGAAGCGGCAGGACAGGGACCTAGCGGCGAACAGGATCATCGGTCGCATGCTACAGAGTAAGACGATCGCCATACGGACGTTTGCGACCACCCTGGATCCAGATAGATATGAGAATCCGAACGGCCACCTCCTCCTCCTAGACGACCTGAGGAACAGTCCACTGGGAAAGCTACCTATCCCGGACGCGGCCCACAAGATTAAGCACTACTACAAGGACTTCAAGCGGCGCAAAGGCGAGACAGTGGGCGCGCTCCTGATCCGGGAGCAGGACTGCTACTCAGAGATGGTCCAGGCGCTGGAGCGCCTCTTGGAGGAGATGGGCGACAATGACAAGTACAAGCAGTGCCAGGAGTGCTACGGCTACTTCGACAGAGACCGTGGCGCAGCCGGACGTGGACAATGGTACTGCCAGAGGTGCTGGGACCACTGGGAACCCAGCCCCGACGCGCCGACGCCCTCGGCAGCAGATGACGCCCCTGCCGAGGAAGCAGAAGAAGCAGATGAGTATGAACGACAGTCGATGACGTCTCGCTCGCAGGGCTCTCGAACGGATCGATTTCACCGACAAGAATCCATGGCGAGCAAGCTCAAGGTTTCGGAAGCAATGGCAGTGGGCTCCACATTCTTCGGCCACGCTTCTGGAGTCCTGAAGGTCCTCCGCGGTTTCTTCCTGCTCGAGGCGATGGATTTCACCGAGAAGGAGAAGCAGGACGTACGCGTGGTCACGCAGAACCGCTTGGATTTCGATGCAGTCTCCAAGGCTTTGAAGGAGAGATGGGAGGACAAGGCGCTGGTGCAGCGGGACTTCGGACCAAGGGCTATGCCTCGGTACGGCCCGGAGTCGAGCCCTCAGTCGGCCCTCGTTGCAGAGTTTGACGACGTACACGGACCTGACTGGTACGACGGCTACGCAGCGGCAGTTCAGGCGTGGGAGAACGACGGTTACGACCACCACGAGAACGAGGACGACTACGACGTCGTGGAGGAGCCGCAGCTCGCCTCAGAGCAAGAGGAGTCCGAGGCCATGGACGAGGATCTCAACCATCTCAACGAGGAGCTCGAGGCGGCCCAGGCGATGGCAGCAGAGGCTTCACGTACACTGGTTCAAGCCAGGCAAGCAGTGGCCGCCGCTCACAAAGATCGAGGATTTGGCAAGCCATCATCGAGTCCAGGAGGAAAGAGTCGCCTTCCCCCGTCGTGGCCACACCAGCAGCCCTCGAGACCGCCATTCGGTGGTCGAGGCCCGAAGGGCAGCAAGGGCAGCAAGGGCGGCAAAGGCAGCAAGTACCGCGACAGGGACCACGACCAGAAGGGCAAGAATGCGAACTACCTGGAGTTCCACACGATCACGCACGGGTTTGACGAGCTCCAGGGTCTGTACCAGGCGGAGCTGAACGACAGCGGCCTCGCCCCTTCTGAGGCCATGGTTGATTGCGGGGCTTCCGCGTCCGCCGGAGGCGAGCGCGCAGTCCAGGCCCTGGTTGCCGCCGTTGCGGCTGCGAACCCACAGGCCAGGATCGAGATCAACAAAAATGAAAGACCGTGGTTTCGTTTCGGAGACAATAAGTGGGGCAGAGCACTGTATAAGGTTTCGGTCGAGTTCGAGCCGGGCTTCGTTCTGGGTATTTTCGCTCTTAGTCCTGGCGTGCCTCTCGTTCTGTTGGGAATGACCGCTCTGGAGTCGTGGCCGGCAATCGTGAATTTCCGAACCGGGGAGGCTGTGATCAGGGGTCAACTGGTGCAGCTTCGCAAGACTCCAGGCAAGGGCCATTGCATCCTCGACCTGGTGAAGCACGTTTCCGAGATTTTAAACCCGACCGCGAAAAACACCGAGGGTCTTGCAAGGGCGTTTCAGAGATGGTCGATGACAAAGACCACATCACCACCATCAGCATCATCTCAGACAAGAACGACATTATCAGCATCATCTCGGACAAGAACGACTTTATCAGCACCATCTCAAACAAGAACGACATTATCAGCATCATCTCAGATGAGAACGACACCATCATCAGTATATACGGCCCTAACGACAACACCATCATTGATAACAGCAACATCACCTCCATCAACCATAACAGGGAGAGCAGCTCCATCATGGTCATCCCATCCTCCGCCGTCTTTTGGCTCTGGAACTCGCTCAGAGCGGATTTCGGCAATCCGCAAGCCGACGTTTCAGTCAGAGCGTTTCCATGGAGGGCAAGGACGAATGGGTACCTGTCGACATAGATGCCGACAAGAAGGAGGAGGGCCCGGAGGTAAAGTCACCTTCGGCGGCAGCGAGCTCCGGACCTACGACCCAGGTCAAGCGGGAGTTCGTCTTCAACGGCCAGAAGATGGAGTATGTCACCTCGGAGGGCAAGGTCAAGGAGAGAGACCCGGGCAACGCGCACCAGGGTCGCAAGAAGGAGAAGCAGATGGAGCTGGACCCGGCGTTCGCACTGCAGGTGGACCCCCGCGATCCGAGGACCACACGGGGACCGTGCGGGCAGACGCATCGCAAGTACTTCACGGTCAACAACCAGTGGGGCCAGACCAGGACATGCTATCGGTGCGGGCTGAGGTTGCTCTACGTCCCGACGGCGAAGGCGCCGATGACGAACCTCAGCATGCAGCATCCGAAGTTGGTGGAGTCCGGCCTGGAGTTGGTGCGGCACTGCAACCTGTGGGAGACGGCCAATCACGAGCAGGTGACTGCGATGATCAACATCGCCACCTCTCTTCGGAGGCTTCCCGGGACCGAGATCCGCCACGCGCCGGACGCGCTGCTGGAGATGCTGGGGGCAGCGAATCCCAGGCGCAAGGCCCAGATGGCGGAACCAGTACCCGGGCCAGTCTGAGCCGGGTGCCGAGGCAGCTTCTGGCGGCCGGACGTCGGAGGTCACTACTCGCAGGACTGGCTTTGGCCATGACCGTGGGTACGATCACCGAGGCGGTGGAGATCTGCTGCCATCCCAACAGCATGCTGACCGACGAGTGCACCAACATCGGCCTCAGCATGGAGCGGATCAGCATCGAGAACGGTTACAACCTCAGCACGAAGGCGGGGTTCGAGGCCGCTAGCAAGAAGCTGGACGAGGTGATGCCGAAGCGGGCTTGGATATCGCTACCATGCACGCTATGGACTTCGCTTACGAACTTCAACTACAAGACCCCAGAGGCACGTGCACGCCTAGAGAAAGATCGACTTCGAGACCGACGACGTGTGAAGTATGGAGTTCTCCTGTTGCTAAAGATTGTTGACAACGGAGGAGAGGTCTACTTCGAGTGGCCCCACAGGTGTCAAGGCTGGAAGATTCCCGAGCTCAATTTTCTTCGTATGGAATTGAGGCGTCGGGGACGACACGTCTTCGAAGATCGGATCGACGGGTGCATGTACGGCCTCAGGGACTACAACACTAACGAGCTCGTCGAGAAGGGCTGGAGGATCATGACCACCGACCCGGAGTTCTCCAAGGTCGCGACCGTGTGTGACCACTCACACGGTCACCGAGTCATCAGCGGGAAGCTGCACACTGCAGCCACGGCCTACTACCCGCAGGCGATGTGCAAGGCAATCGCCCGGCTATGGCATGCTCAACTCCGGACCCCAATCGACCTCAACACGGCCCTGGAGAACCCTGCTGTCCTCGACCTCGAGAATGCCTACCTGATGGAGCGGGACACCGGGAGCATCTACGTCGCTGAGCCCACGGATCTCGAAAGGGAACAGGTTCGAGCAATGTTGAGCAAGATACACAAGGCTGCAGGGCATCCAGGTAACGAGCACTTGGCTTACTGGTGCAAGAAGCGACAGTGTCCACGCTGGATCATCGAAGAAGCGATCAATCTTCGCTGCGAGGCATGCGACTTAGTCAAGCACGGCGTTACCCACAAGGTCAAGGCGAGCCTCGACATCCCCATGGCACCTTGGCAGGCAGCCGTCATGGACGTTTCCGACCTGACGTTCCCGGACTTGAATGTGAAGGCCAGGTTTCTCCTCATCGCAGAGGTCGCCACCGGCCTGATGTGCGGGGACATCACTGCGAAGATCGGCCTCAAGGATAAGGGCACAGATTCGTCAGCTACGCTGTTCACGACGTTTGCCAGAGCCTACCTTCAACACTATCCCAAGCCAAGGTGGGTTTTCGTCGATCCTCAGACCTCTTTTGTGGGTGGCGAGTTTAAAGACAACTGCCAGTTGGCCGGCATCGGCGTCTCAGCGAAACCAGGAGGAGCACATTGGATGGCTGGCGACATCGAGCGCCGCATCTCGACCGTCAAGCAGGTAATGAGGAAGCTTCGCCTACAATACCCCAAGCTGAGTCCCGAGACCGTGTTTTACATCTCGATTGCGGCGGCCAACAACATGGACAACATCAAGGGCTACACGCCGATGCAGTGGGCTTTCGGGTTCTCTCCCACCGAGGACCCAATCTTGGCGCATAACGCAGCTACTGGCAAGTTGAAGTCCGACTTCTTCGAGATCGAGCGGGTACGAGCGGATGCAGAGGCGACTTACCTGAAGGAGAAGGCATCCAGGAAGATCTCAGAGCTGAAGAACTCAGCCCCACGACCTCGACATGAATATAAGCGAGGGGACTGGGTCTGTGTCTGGCGGTCGTACGCTGCGACAGGGAAGCGAAAGCTTTCCGGACAGGATTTCTTCACGGACGGCCTCTTCATCGGACCGGGCAGAGTACTGTTCTCCGAGCCGGCGGTCCAGACAGGCAACAAGGACGGCGTGATCTGGGTCATCATGGGCAACCGATGCTGGCGCTGTGCAGCTGAGCAACTGCGGCCAGCCACGCAGTCGGAGATCGTCCAGATCAACCTGAAGAAGGACGACATCCTCAACAGTCCGCTCGAGGACGTCTGGAGGCACCTCCAGGACTTTGACGACATCGCCGGGGAGCCCTCCCCAACGGCAGATGGCATGAGGATGCTACCACGTCAACCTCTTGAGGGCATGCCGAGGGTGATCGAGAATCCCGATGTGGCCGTGGAACCCCACGACGTCACGGAGGCAGATGACGACCTGGAGGTCGACGAGGACAACTCAGCACCAGAGCCACCACAGATTAAGCGAACAAGATTGAGAGGCAAGCAACCGACTGTGTCGTGGCCACCTGTACCGACTGAAGCTTTCCAACCGCGTTTTGGGAGATCATCTTCATCAAGAGCCTCAGCTGAAGTTGCTCACGCTGCCCTCTTCAAGGCGGCGAGCGACCATGTGGAAGCCAGCGAGACCGACATCATCAACTTCGTGCAGGATACGAACAACGAGGCCGAGTTGGACTTGATGAAGATTGAGATCGAGACGGACCTGGAGGAGTTCTGTTTCGATGCGAGCGCGTACCTGGAGAAGCAGCTGAACCGAGTGGCCAACAACACGGTCAAGAAGGGTGTGGAGGTTTCGTTTGGCCGCCTGAGCCCCGAGGAGAAGCCACTGTTTCAAGAGGCAATGGCACGGGAGCTGGCGGAACATCTGGAAGTACCGACAGTCCGGGCTGCATCGGCTTACGCTGACTACAATCGTGGAAAGGACATTCCAGCGGACAAGCTGATCAAGATGAGGTGGCTACTGACCTGGAAGCCTTTGACACCACCTGAACCACCGGACAAGTCGGACCCACACCCCGTGAGCACGCCAGACGGGAAGTTCAAGGCGAAGGCCCGTATCATTCTGTTGGGCTTCTCACATCCAGACCTTGTCAGTCGGGACAAGTTCGGAGATCGGGTACTTCCCACGGCGTCACCAACCATTTCAAGAAAAGGGAAGCTGGCACTCCTCCAGATGGCTGCTTTCCACGGCTGGACCTTCGAGCTAGCCGACGCGAAGTCCGCCTTCCTGCAGGCCGGGCACACCGAGGAGTGGAGGAAGCTCTACACGAAGGGCGTGAAGGAGCTCCGGCAGGCCTTGCAGATCAACGAGGAGGAGTCCATGAGAGTCTTGGCAGCGATCTACGGGATCACGAATGCGCCGTGGGTTTTCTGGAAGTACGTGGACCACAAGATCCACGAAGCAGGAGGCAAGAGCGTCCTCATCGAGCCACGCATCTGGATCATTCAGGACCAGAACGGCACCGTGTGCGGGGTCATTGGCTCGCACGTGGACGACTTTGGCATCGCAGGCGACAGCGACAACAAGTTCTACCTCGACATGAAGAACATGCTGAAGGAGATGCTGCGGTGGTCTCCATGCGAAGCACGCCATGCATGTGGGCAGGCATGTGGATCACCCAGGAGCCATCGGGCAAGATCCATGCTAGCCAGGAGGAGTTCTGTCACCAGCTCCTCGAGATCAGGGTCGAGTCCGGCAAGTACCTCTCGAAGGACGACAAGCTCAAGCCGGAGGACGTCACCCAGTTCAGGGCAGGCCTGATGAAATGCCAATGGAGAGCGACACAGACAGCACCACAGTTCTCATGTCGGGTGTCACTGTTGGCTCAACGGGTGAACGAGGCGACGTTCGGAGACCTGAAGGACACGAACGCCCTCATACGCGATGTGAAGCGGACAGCTCGTGATTCCCTGGTGTTCCACAACTTCAATAGCAACGGTGGCGGTAAGCTGAAGTGGGACGACCTAGTGATCGTGACGTGGGTCGACGCAAGCAGACTACTACAACGAGGAGGTTACATCGTGGCGTTCACCACGGCCGAGATCCTCAAGCAGAAGGAATGTGCAGTATCGATCGCCGACTGGAGATCGTACAAGCTCAAGCGCACCGGCATCGGCACCAACGGCTGCGAGGGACAGGCTCTGTACGACGGCGAGAACGCGGCGTACCTGATGCGCATGCTGTGGTCAGTCATGCACGGAGTTCCAGTCACCGCGCACACTCAGGAGGAGGTGGCGCAATCCATGACCTCGGTGCTGGTGATCGACAGCCGAGGAGTTTATGATTCAGTTCACAACAAGGAGAGTTTCGGCATAGGCCTGAGCGATGCGAGGACCGGCGTGGAGGTTCTACATGTGAAGGCGAACTGCGGGCCCGAGAAGAACCAGCACCTGGTTTGGGTCCCCTCGGACCTCAATCTCACCGACGGCCTCACGAAGGACAGTCCCGAGGCAAGGAAGCCTCTGGCTCTGTGGCTTGCACGGCGTACCTGGATCATCAGGTACGATGAGGACTTCATGTCAGCCAGGAAGCGACAGCGAGCCAACAAACTCGCTCAGGACAAGCCGCAGGCATCTACAGACGCTGAAGCCGAGGCCGCCGACGCTTTAGCTTTTCTCGACCTATCTTGAGGATAGGGTCGGGCTCTTTTCTCATCATTCCTTTTCATATTCGTACTGTGCAGGGCCCCTCTTTTTGATCCAGTTCGGTCGGAACGGTCGAGAAGGATTTTTAGGCTCATGTCGAGCCGAGGCGACTCGAGCGAAGTTTTGAGTCAACCTCTCCTTCCTCACTCTCTCTTTTGCCGCCGCCTCCGCGGCTG